AGAGAGAGAGAGAGCAAACAGCAGTGTAAAAAAGCTATTGTTGTATGCCGGCTGAACAAAAAATCAGTCACGTACAAATTTTTGTATGAGAGTCATGTAAAAAAAAATTCTTAGCTTTTGATTAACATAGAACATAGAAAAATATTTCAAGATTAATTTTATGGTTTTAATCAAACATTTAAACTCAACTTATTCGATTCGTCAGATTCGTGCAGCAATTTGAAACAACGCCTTCTGCAGGGGAAAAGTTGTCGATGCTAACTAACAAGAATACACAGAATCTTATGGGCAATGATCTTTTACAAGCGCTTATTTCAACAGTAATGTATATTTATAAACGGACGGAATTTTTTTCGGTGTTGAGTATACTTTTAAGCCGAAAAATACCTTGATGAAAAAAAAGTTTTTCTCATTGTATAGTTGTATTTTGTTAATCAGTATTGTGATTTTCCTCAAAGATCGAATAATTTCGTAAAGAACTTTTAAATCAGCGTATTTAAAAGTAATATTTTTTTCGCTCTCTCGTACATTGTACTTATTTCTCACTAGAAATTTACTTTTTTTTCATGAAATTAAAAAAAAAATTTAATTTGCTAGTAATATGCTACTTGGGACTGGAAAAACTTATATAAGTTGTAAAATATTTATTATTGTTAAAATAAGCACTAATAATCTATTATTGTCTATCTGACGCTGTGTATTCTTGTTAGTTAGCATCGAGTGCATCGAAATTTTTTTTCCTGCAGGTGGCGTTGTTTTTTTTTTCTTTTTATTCATCATCACCCGTAGGCTCAGACATGGCATTCTTTTACACAAGCATAGTGTCAATTAGCCATCGGTGCACCTGAGTTATGACCAGATGTTTATATACGTATATAAACATCTGGACCAACTCAGTCACACCTATGAGCACGTACACGAAGCGTCAGAGAAACAGTTAATCGACCTTCGAGAATCAAGAGCACCGGCGAAAGGGCGAGACCTGAATGGAGACGAGACGATCACCCATCCAAGTACTAACCGCGCCAAATGCAGCTTAACCTCAGGGATCGACGGAACTGCAACTCTACCGTTGCGCCACCGCGACTACAATTGTTGTTTCAAATTGCTGCACGAAGCGAATAATGATTGTACCGTGTCAGGCACTAATGCTGCCGGCAGTGTGTGATAATTAGAGCAAGACATTTGTCAAGAAATTTGTGACTTGATTTTTTTCCAACTTATAAAACTGTTTGCTTTTTATATACTTTAACAAAGTTTTTGACTCAATAGATAATAGAAGAATAGTGGCTAGCTAAGTGGAATTGACAATAACAACGAATATAGCACTAATATAAGCATACTTCTGTACGTTAGAAAATATTTTTGAAAAATTTAAGGGTTATTTAAGCGCGCTCTTTACTAACAAATTTGTAGGAATAACTACCCAACAATTGTTATCAAGATTGAGTGAAATTTGTAAAATAATAACACTACCAGAAGTTGATGATCTGTTGAGTAAAACAATGGCTCTGCGATTTTTGATTTTACGATTTTATTTTACGATGATCGAAATGACAAACATTTACAATAATTTTAAACAGCACACAGTGACATTAAAAAATGAATATAATACACATTCTGACAGTCACAACTTAATTTAAGTATCTTGAGAAACAGACTAGTACATGATTCTATTACTAGTTAATTCAAATGTAAATTTCTTATTCATATTAAAAACATCACACACCACTTATTTATATTAAAGCCAACAACTTTTATTTAATATTACTGGTAAGAGCTTGGTAATCAATATGTTTTGGTGGACGAAATTGAACTTTCACAAAATAATACGAAATGGCAGCACCCATAATCTATAAAAATTAAAGCAATTAAATTTTAGACAAATTTTAGGCNCGTGATAAGCAACTTAAAAAAAAAAAAAATGTAAGCGGTTAGTAGTTTTTAAACTTTTCGTAGCAAAAGTATGTCTGTTAATAGATCAAAGTATGAAGTATACTAAAAATTTACATTTATTTATTATGAAAACATAAAAAAGTTATATTGACATCGTTAATAAGGTATAAAAACTTTGTTACTTTTCTAAGCCATTGTCCAAGTAAGAAAACAATAGATTCAAATGTCACTAAAATCCGTCCATAGAGTAACAAAGTAAATTCAAACAAATAAAAAAAATTTACAAAAGGAATACATGTTATGATTTACAAAATATTATGTTTTACGGATGTGGACCACATATATTAGAGATCAGTGTGCCAACCAAATATTTCGTTACAATTACAAGACAAAATCAAAAAAATACAAATGTAACTAAGACTTAAGGAGGCTCTCTCTTACAGAAATGCCAACCCTCGTCGTAGGTCTCGAATTTGCTCGAAAACTCAGGTATAGTTGGCATCACTGGCGCAAGGGAACACAGACTCACCTGTGGAAATACAATGATTTGATCAATTTTTAATAGAATTTCTCAAAGTTTTCCAGAGTAACACATACTTTGCTAGGTGTCATTTGAGAGAGGAGGTTTTTTTCTACAAAACGTGTGCTCTCTTATCACGGGAACTGTTACTTTATTCAAGTTTTTAAGTTGTTTTCATCGCGGGTGCAAGCTCCACCATAAGAAGACATTTTAAAAAGCGCTACATTAAATTAATAATATCTCAAAACTCCGTAGGGTAAGCGATATCAAAAATCATATCACTGGATTCAGTAGATTTTTAACTATAAATTCATCTAGTCTTGATTCGGAAACTGTCATGAGAGAGCCTGCTTAAGAAAAAAACAAAATTCAATTTTTTCATGTTACGGCACGACTGATACTCAGGAGCAAAAAGTGTAAGTTGTAGTGTATATGAGATTTAGGAAATAGAGGTGCAAGGTATTGTAATGGTAAACCATGATAAGTATACATCTATATAAAAGGTATATTCCTAATTTTACGTAAGATTTCATATGAGCGCTCGTAGGCCAGGGATTAAACACGCCAGCCCGTCTTGCCTCTCGACTCTTCGTCGTCTCTCCTTTCTCCCTACTTAGTGAAACAGAAATGGCATAATCGCAAAAATTCGAAAATACTAGATAAAAAAAATATAACCGTATATTCAGGACATATAAAAATAAGAAACTGTCTTAGGCAATATCTAGTTACTGTCCGAATATTGTTAAGATAATTCCTCCAGTGGAAAAAGCCAGTTTTTCAATAGCACCTCAAAAACCATGGAATTTTTTTGAAGTTAACAAATGCAGAAAATGTAGCTTCTATAAAGGCTAACAAAATATCCCCCTACTTTCCGAAATTAATTAATTTGTTCATGCACAAAGTTGAAAACATCCTCAAAATGGGGCATTTATTAATTTGTTAACAACTGTTACTCCTTATATTCAAACGGTACCAGCGTAAGTGTCAATTGTATGTCTTTATAATGTTAAGAAATGCTCTGAATTTCAATTTAGTGTTTAAGAATAGTCAATTGTTTACCAAAATTGTCTCTTTATTAATAGGTTTTCATATTTATTGTAGACATTCTCAAAATGATAATTCAAGCGGGATTCTCTTCTTAGAGAGTTATATTATCTGGCACAATTTATACCTCAACGGTTTTTGCGAGATTAATTGTTTAAAAACATGTTTGAAAACAGGTACGTTTTAATGCTGTTACATGACAATGTTATAAATAAATAAAATAAATCTCTCATTTTTTATCGTACAGCTTCACGAGTAGATTCGATATCGAGCTACAATTTTTCTACGAGTTTTGAAAAAAAAAAAAATTGTTTCAAGCCACTTGGGAGTCGAAAGAAATTTTTTTTTTAATTGACCACCGTTTGTTTGAAAAACAACCTTTTTTCCCAAACTTTTGCAGTTATCAATTATTAGTTTATCTAATGGATGATACCGCTTACTTATCAAATCGCTGTTTTGTATGGACTTTGGAATACACAATGTTTTTTTCGTTTGAGGTCGATTATAGACATGTTATGACGTCACTGGCCAGACTCGACTACTCGTTGTCATCGTCATTGTCATCGTTATTATTAATTGCTTATTTAATCTTTCTGGCATCTTACGAGTTCTAGTTGAGCGTCTTATGACTTTCGACTCTACGTTTGATTCAGCTGAATCATTTTTATCACAGCCCTTAACTATTCCAAAAGTCGCAAGAAGCAGAATGGGAAGGAAAACTTTAAATGCATCTAATGAATACAATTTAAGGTGTCAAGAAACCGACGCAGAACATTTATCGAGATTAAAACAGTAGCGTCAAACTCTTCAAATAAAGAATCCATTGCGTGAGAGATCAGCTTTCTATTTTACCCTCACAGTAATCTGTTAAATCTTTTAGTTTCTTAAATAGGTAGAATACTTATACGTTTGTATTTTAGTGGATAAAAAATGTACAGATTAAGCTCCAGGACTTTGTTGCTTTGGTAAAAAAGTTTTGAGATAAGAGAAAAAAATTTGTATTAATTATAAATTTTTTGTGAGTCTTAAATCTTTACAGCTTTAAAAAATAGCCCTTTCCGTAGACTATACGGAAAAAACTGATAACAGCCCTTTAGGACTAACGATTATTGTATGGCAGAAGTAACGCACGGTACTTTTTAGCATGATAATATTTTTTTTCAGTTTTTACAGCTTTTATTTGACTAAAGTAAAGTACCCAGTAGTTGGACAGAAATAAAAATGGCACCAGTAGTTCGACAGTCCAATATAATTAACATTTTTGAATAGAAGACGTTTGTAAATAGGAAAATAAATTTATTTATAATCCATCAATGCATAATAATGCCTCATGAAAAAATTCAACTTTAAAACTTTTTTTCTTTTTTAGGTAAAAAAATATGTTTTAAACGCGAAGCATGTAAGATCCCTTTAATAACATAGGAGTGCTCCTATACTTAGTACTTGGACATGGGAAAAAATCGCTAAAAATTATAATTTATAGTTAGGCATAGAACGTTTAATTTATTTTCTAACTAAAGTTACTTTGTAAAATGCATATTATTATAATTTTTATTGATTTTATCAGAGTTAAACGCATCGAAAAATATATATCTCTGTCCCAAAACAGCTTCCATTCGATAACATACGATTTTTCCTGTACCTGGTACTTGGACAGTAAAAAATACTTAAAATTATTGATTATTACTGAATATAACATGTTAATGTAACTGTTGAAGACTAAAATAAAGTTGAATCATTGAGTAGTTGAGAGATATAATTATGACGCTACATTTAAAACTGCTGCGACAAAGAAAAATAATAATTACTCTTCGTAGTCGAGGTCATTGATAAAGGAACAAAATTTCTCATTGCGCGCTTCTCTTTATCACACCACGCCCCATTAATACCCAAAGACGCCAAAACCAATAATTGCCTTTATTTGTCTTCACGTTTTCTCGTACCTAGTGTGGCCCTATATATACACACATTACTTACAGACGCTCTTTCCATATCAGGACCATGGAACTTACTGACAGTCCATTGACCTGAGCATCATGCGATGGTTTACAAATAGTTTCTCTGCTAACACTAGTTAACTAATCTGGAACAATTAATACTTTTACAGAATCTCTCCAGAAGTTTATAAAACTGTTGTAAACTACACATACATCGGGCTCATTTACTTATTTAACAGTCAATAAAAAGTGCAATTTTTTCTCTAGCTTTTGGTGCTTTCTCTATTGTAAAAATTTTATTGTCATAAGCAATTTGTAAAAGTTTTTTCGCTTGTTTCATGACAAGTTTTTTCTTAGTTTTTAAAGGCTTCTAGAAATAAACATAATAAAATAAAACCGAAGGAGGAATTGTACGTTTTTTATAAAATATTAAACAAGTAAATAAATGAGGCCGATGTAAGGGTAGTTCATAGCAATCGGCAAATCGGCAACTCCACCACTATGCTACTGTAATGGTGTATTGTATATAGAAAATATGTATACCAATATCTTTATACTCTCAGTAAAAAACAATACATTATGATATGAGTTTGTTTCCATTACAGGTGGTTGACAGGTATGTTATGATCGAGGGACAACGCAAGGAGCCGCAAGTCGAGCTTGACCATAGTTCCTTGAATTTATTTAAACAGTTTTTAATCTCTGAGGAATATGATATTGAAAACGTTCATGCAAAAATCAGTTTGGACCACATCTTGACTATAGAAGTTCCTGAAAAAAACATGTCCGAAGTTAAAGAAGACAATGTTATTACCATGGAACAGACCAACGAGCCAATTATCGAAATACCAGAAATGGAGGAATAGGAAAAATAGATTGCATGATTACCTATACAAGGTTAGAAACAGTAAGATGAACATTGTATGTAAAAAACACTGTTAAATTACATTGTAAACAGAGTTACCATTGGATTCAGCAGACTTTAATCTACCAAATTAAATATATTTTGTTTCTCAGGTTTTCGTAAGCGAACTACCTTAACTGCGTCCAAGAAACGAAGCCAAATGATTTTTACCGTATAAAAAATAAATCGTGATGCACATAAGAAAATCGCGAAAGCTAACACAATTATATGTCATATACCTACAATTATATATAAATATTCAATTTGGAAAGCAAATATATTGATACAAAAACTGACATAAAGAACTTATTTTATTATAATGAATTGAGTTTACTTCCTAACAGCTTTTACTTTTCTTTAACTGAGTACTTTAACTTAGTTGCGTTCGACCATACAGCTGTCAAACCATCTACTACAATTTAATACAATTTACCTTTAGATATCTTAACCCTTAGTTGTGAAGTTACGTTCTTCGTGGAGAAAATTGTTGGAAGAGCATTCTAGTCATTAATAATTTACGATAAAACTTTGCCCCAGACATTGACTACATGGTGAAAATCTATAAATGTGGTTAAAAAAATATAGTTGAATTGGATTCTAGTTAGTTTCAAATTTATTATTATTAGAAAAAAAAAAAAAAATACTATACCAGATCACTGACTGTAACAATTACAAACAGTATTTTGAATATATAGTAGTACTGTAAACTTACTATGTAATGAGATTCGTAAAAACAATAGCTTACTTTAATATGTATTATTGAAAATGCTTACTGCATTTCAAATTTGAATAACAAGATATTGCTCCCTTCCTTAGTCAAGTTAAGTCAGGTATCCCTATAGGGTTTCAGTATATTAAATAATTTTTATATATTTTCTTGAAAGAAGCATACTTTACTATCAACAATGCCACCAATGTAGGAGAGACTGGGTACAGTTTTACCAAAGAACGGTTGTAGCACCAAGGGAGCATTAGTATGCTCGTCTGACTGCATGTCACTGACTTTGGTTAACCGTAGCGTGATACTAGCGATAGCATAAACCTATAATTACTTTTGATGAGTGACGAGTAAAGATTTTTATTAAATTTCTTGTCATGATTGTAATTATACGTGTATGGATAGAACAATGACTTTTTTTATATAACAAGTACAACATTACTAGTAAAATAGCATTGAATACTTGTCCTTAGATTATTTTTTATTTCGGTGGTGACTTTTTTTTTGCGAAGGAGCTTGTTAGGTATGGTTGTAACCTTTGGTCTGGTTAAGACGGGGTACGCATATGGCACCCTCCTCTTTCAGCGATTTTTGAATAACTTTTTTATTTATCAGTTCAGAATTATAACTCAATTATAACAATGGATATTAAAGGTTTTTCATACACATTATGGTATTAAAGGTTCTTTATATAAATTATAAAAAATTCTGTGATATATCTCTAATGCTACAATATATTATAAGCATTGCAATACATATATAAACCGCGCAACACTGTAAGTAAGATATGAGGCAAAGACACAGTGTCAGGAATACTTAGATGTAAAATTTCTAACTGAAAACGTTTCGCGTTACATGTCAACACACTACGGTGTTTTATTTAGTAAGTCTAGGGTGAAGCCGAGACGGGGGGCCATTAGTACTTCAATAAAACAGCTACTTACATTGAATCTTGCAACACAACTGTAGTATCAAAATAATTTAATCAATGATAGGAAATTTTTATTATTTTCCGAAATGACTGAAATAACAAGCTGAAAACCTAAGCCTTATTTAGTTCAGCAATTTGGGTAGTTAAAAATAATACGCTAATATAAAATTTTGCAAGTGGAAGTGAAATGAGACATTGGTAATAAAAGTAATTATTCAAGTAACTTGTACATCACTCACGGCTTTCGTACATATTACATATTTTCGTAATAAATAATTGTTTTTCTTACTACCTCGCCCGAAAATTCAAGTTTTGGTAGCAATGTATTGGCCTGATGCAGAACGGGTAGTGAAATCTAAAATACGACACCTGTAGGAGCGGACCCCCATATTGTGTGGGATGTAATAAAAACTCCAAAGATCATAATAACATGATGAGCGTCTAAAGCACAACTTTGCACCATAGAGTGCATTATTAAATTCCAAAAAAAAAAAATCAGAAACAAGTTTAATATAACTTTTTGATAAAACATTAGGCATATTTTAGTTATATTTTAGATACTGTGGGTAATACATACAGCTACTTATACTCTGCCGTGACGCTTGTAGTTACATTGGTAGTCGTTACTCACGCTGGTCTCGTTTTAGTCTGGCGCCGATCAGACATTTACCGAGGAAAATTATTCGGATGAAAATTTTTGATGCCATCTCGTTCGGAATGTGCCACTGTACCTGAAAGTGCATGTTGCCAGATCAAAATGTGGTCACAATTTGTTTAAGTAATTTTTTTATCAACAATTTCGTCAAAGTGGTTTTTTCGTCTAAAAAAAATATTTTCATATTCTTTGGCTCATTTGGAACAAAAAACTGATGGAACTGGAATGTATGTACCTAAACCCTACAGTTTTCGAGTAAAAAATTCTTGAAAATTCAAAATAGGTGAAATTGGCTATTTTCAGCGCTTAAAAACTATATGAAAATATCAATTTATTTACATGGAAAAAATTTTTTAAAATACTTTGATACGTATTCAACAATGTCCTGGGAGTATATTTCCTTGTTTTTCAGTTTAAGCCCTTGTTTTTTTGATTTGAAGAAAGTCGTTTCCGCGCGCACCAGCGAGGCGCACTTTACCACGTATACATGTAGATAGATCGACAGTAGTACTCGTGTATGTACTTTTTTTGCCCAATAATGAATTGATTAAGGTAACCACAAATCGATAAGTTAAATGCATTCACGATTCACACTTTTGAGACCATGCATTGTGTCAATGTACTTGCTAAACTAACTCCATACGTCGACGATTCCTTCGGATTCATTTGTCATCAGACGTATACAGAGATAGAGAGAGAGAGAGAGAGAGAAAAAAAGAGA